CACTGTTACTGAAAGTTTCTTAAATGTTTTGGATGTGAGTGTTGAATTCTAGATTGCTGGAGAGGTGTCTACCTATGAATTTTCTCTCATCTTGCCTTTGGAAATAAATGGTATAAAATACCGACACAATGGAAATATAAACACATATGCAGTATAATGTGATCCTTTATTGACAATGTTTTGCCCACACAGTGGGCTTTATCAAGTCACAAACAGATCTACCTGGGTGGAAGGTATGTGAGAATTTATAGGACGAAGAATGATGGGTCAGGTGGAGAATGCTGCATGTAACAATCTACCTGGAGTTTACCTGGAGAGAGTTCCGGGGGTCAGTGCCCAGGCCTCATGGTGGATCCGAGCCTGATCAACCAGGCTGTTACTGCTGGCTGCATGCAATCCAACATACAAGCCACAGCCCGGCTGGTCAGGGTACCGACTTTAGGTGCCTGTCCAGTGCCTGCTTGAAGACAGCCAGGGGTCTATTGGTATTCCCCCTTATGTATGCAGGGAAGCAACTGAACAGTCTTGGGCCCCTGACACTTACTGTGTTGTCTCTTAACATGCTAGTGACACCCCTGCTTTTCATTGAGGGGATGTTGCATCGTATGCCGAGTCTTTTGCTTTTGTAGGGAGTGATTTTCATGTGCAAGTTCAATACTAGTCCCTCTAGGATTTTCCAGGTGTATATAATCATGTATCTCTCCCACCTGCATTCCACGGAGTACAGGTTCAGGAACTTCAAGCGTCCCCAGTAACTGAGGTGTTTCATCTCCGTTATGCGTGCCGTGAAGGTTCTCTGTACATTTTCTAGGTCAGCAATTTCACCTGCCTTGAAAGGTGCTGTTAGTGTGCAGCAATATTCCAGCCTAGATAGAACAAGCGACCTGAAGAGTGTCATGGGCTTGGCATCCCAAGTTTTGAAGGTTCTCATTATCCATCCTGTCATTTTTCTAGCAGATGCAATTGATACAATGTTATGGCCCTTGAAGGCGAGATCCTCTAACATGATCACTCCCAGGTCTTGGACGTTAGTTTTTTGCTCTATTTTGTGACTGGCATCTGTTTTATACTCTGATGAAGTTTTAATTTCCTCATTTTTACCATATCGGAGTAATTGAAATTTCTCATCGTTGAACTTCATATTGTTTTCTGAAGCCCATTGAAAGATCTGGTTGATGTCTGCCTGGAGCCTTGCAGTGTCTGCAATGGAAGACACTGTCATGCAGATTCAGGTGTCATCTGCAAAGGAAGACACGGTGCTGTGGCTGACATCCTTGTCTATGTCAGATATGAGGATGAGAAACAAGATGGAAGCGAGTACTGTGCCTTGTGGAACAGAGCTTTTCACCGTAGCTTCCTCAGACTTTATTCTGTTGACTACTACTCTGTGTTCTATTTGTCAGGAAATTATAGATCCATCTACCAACTTTCCTGTTATTCCTTTGGCACGCATTTTATGCGCTATTACACCATGGTCACATTTGTCAAAGGCTTTTGCAAAGTCTGTGTCTATTACATCTGCATTCTTTTTGTCTTCTAGTGCATGTAGGACCTTGTCATAGTGATCCAGTAGTTGAGACAGACAGGAGCAACCTGCTCTAAACCCATGTTGCCCTGGGTTGTGTAACTGATGGGTATCTAGATGGGTGGCAATCTTGCTTCTTAGGACCCTTTCAAAGATTTTTATGATATGGGATGTTAGCACTATAGGTCTGTAGTTCTTTGCTATTGCTTTACTGCCCCCTTTGTGAAGTGGGGCTATGTCTGTTGTTTTTAGTAACTGTGGGATGACCCCAGTGTCCATGCTCCCTCTCCATAGGATGTTAAAAGCACGTGATAGGGGCTTCTTGCAGCTCTTGATGAACATGGAGTTCCATGAGTCTGGCCCTGGGGCAGAGTGCATGGGCATGTCATTTATCACCTGTTCAAAGTCATTTGGCATCAGGATAACATCAGATAGGCTTGTGTTTACCAAATTCTGTGGCTCTCTCATAAAAAATTCATTTAGATCTTCGACTCTCAGTCTGGTTAGCGGCTTGCTAAAAACTGAGTCATATTGGGACTTGAGTAGCTCACTCATTTCCTTGCTGTCATCTGTGTAGGACCCATCTTGTTTAAGTAGGGGTCCAATACTGGATGTTGTTTTTTACTTCGATTTGGCATAAGAAAAGAAATCCTTTGGGTTTCTTTCGATTTCATTTATGGCTTTTAGTTCTTCCCGCAATTCCTGACTCCTATAAGATTCCTTTAGCTTAAGTTCAATGTTTGCTATTTCTCTGACCAGTGTCTCACTTCGCATTTCAGATATATTGGCCTCTTTTAGCCGCTCTGTTATTCTTTTCCATCGCCTGTAAAGGGAGTGCCTGTCTCTTTCTATTTTACATCTACTCTTCCTTTTTCTTAAAGGAATAAGCCTTGAACATATATCGAGTGCCACAGAGTTAATCTGTTCTAGGCATAAGTTGGGGTCTGTGTTGCTTAGTCTATCTTCCCAGCTTATATTGTTTAGGACTTGGTTTACTTGGTCCCACTTTATGTTCTTGTTATTGAAGTTGAATTTGGTGAAGGCTCCCTCGTGACTGATCTCATTTTGTCAGTCTGGGGCTCTGCACATACATGTCTGAACCTCGATTATGTTGTAATCTGAGTATATTGTTTTTGATATGGTGACATTTTATATCAGATCATCATTGGTAGTGAAGATGAGGTTCAGTGTATTCTCCAGTCTAGTAGGCTCTATTAGAGTTATAGAATCTAATATCTTGGGTAGCTTGAAGGAGAGATTGGATATGTATATGAGTAGACCTTCTGTAGTGTTCCTCCATTCTTACGTTCTTACGTGGGATAGTGATGAAAAAGTTTCTTGGCAAGGGGTTCAGCTATGTTATAGAAGCCGTTGTTCTGGCTGAAGTTGTTGGATGTACAGGTAAGTGATGATTCCAGGATTCTTCGGTATTGAATGTTGTCTTCTCTGGAGATAAGTCTTGCGTTTCTGTAGTTGATTAAATGGTTGTGTGAATTTCGGTGTTGAACACAGGCATTCCTTGAGTAGTCAGATCTGCCTGCGTACTGGTGTTCTGAAATACGTGTTTGGAGGTCTCTTGATGTTTCACCCATGTATAACTTGCTGCAGCCATTACAAGGGATTCTGTATACCCCAGCAGAGGATAGAAGCTTGTCCTGTCTATTACTGGTAATGTCCTTGATGGTCGTGGTTGTGGAGGTAGATACTTAGAATGAGGTATTGGAAAAGATGTTGGAAATGTGTTTGGCAATGGAGTTGGCGGGGAGGACTATACATATATATCTCTTCTCGGCAGTGTCTTCTGGGTGTGTTGAAAATGTTTAATGCCCATCGTCTGCAGTCTCTGATGAAGTGACAAGGATAGTGAACTTTGGAAAATACTTGTTCAATTATAATGCATTCTTCCTCAAGGAACTCACTACTGCAAATTCTGAGTGCAAGCAGGAAAAAGCCTATAATTACACCACGTTTAGTTTTGGTGTCGTGGTGAGAGCAGAAGTGGAGAAGATCGTGTTGGTTGGTAGGTTTTTGATAGACTTTAAAATGAAGTTCATGGTCACCTTGCAGAGAACATCAAGGAAAGGAAGAGTGTTGTCAACTTCTTCTTCTAGTGTGAACTGGATTGAGGGCTCAACCTGGTTGAGCTTGTGTTGGAGAGCTTGAACATTGAAGCGTCTAAGAGTTATGATGAGAATGTTGTCAACATAATGGAGCCAGGTGACAGATGAGGGAATAATGGTGGAAAAACAAGTATTTTCCAAACTTCACTATCCTCGTCACTTCATCAGAGACTGCAGACGACAGGCATTAAACATTTTCAACACACCCAGAGAAGACACTGCTGAGAAGAGATAGTCCTCCCCACCAACTCCATTGCCAAACCCGTTTCCAACATCTTTTCCAATACCCCATTCCAAGCATCTACCTCCACACCCACGACCATGAAGGACATTACCAGTAATAGACAGGACAAGCTTCCATCCTCTGCAGGGGTATACATAGTCCCTTGTAATGACTGCAGCAATTTATACATGGGTGAAACATCAAGAGACCTCCAAACACGTATTTCAGAACACCAGTACGCAGGCAGATCTGACGACTCAAGGAATGCCTGTGTTCAACACTGAAATTCACACAACCATTTAATCAACTACAGAAACGCAAGACTTACCATCAGAGAAGACAACATTCAATACCGAAGAATCCTGGAATCATCACTTTTCTGTACATCCAACAACTGCAACCAGAACAACAGCTTATATAACATAGCTGAACCCCTTGCCAAGACACTTCTTCATCACTATCCCACGTAAGAACATAAGAATGGAGGAACACTGCAGAAGGTCTACTCATATACTTATCCAATCTCTCCTTCAAGCTACCCAAGCCATTATATTCTATAACCCTACTCGGAAGATTGTCACATGCAGCATTCTCCACCTGACCCAGCATTCTCATCCTGACTTCATCCTATAAATACTCACGTGCCTTCCACTCAGGTAGATCTGTTTGTAACTTGATAAAGCCCACTGTGTGGGTGAAATGTTGTCAATAAAGGATCCCATTATACTGCATATGTGTTTATATTTCCATCTTATCTTTGTGTATATTATTTACCTTCATATTCAATGGCATTTTTAGCTTTATTCCTAAATACTATGTAGAAGGTTTTATCAACACTGAATGCAAGTTTGTTAATTGTTATCCAAGTAGATATCTTTATGAGCTCATCAGTAACCATGTTGTTAAAATTTAACAAAACCCAATGTTGCAGTTCATATGAACATCAGTCTAGGTTGAATCTTCAAGAATGACTCTCTTCCAAGAATCACTTCTCCAGCCTTAACTGTTCCAAAATTAAGTTTTCAGACTGATTATATATTAAGTACCCTGGTATAACCCTAATATAAGTAATGGTACTAGCTACCAGCACTGCCAACAAAATAATAATGTACTGTATTCAAGTACTTCTAACCTTAGAGTGCCTGTAAGTTTTGCATTGACGCAGTAACTGGGACCAAAAGTATTGTCACTAGTGAGGTATGCTGTAGGGTAGATGGGATCATGCATGTGTCCATATTCTTCAAATACTCCCCATCTGAATTTTGCCCATTCATGAACCAGTAATTTACCTGAGGAAAAGAAGCTTAGTTTAATGTAATAAATTATTTTAGTCTTTCCCCACTTGGCTGCCTTAGATCTGTTATACAAACCCAAATTCTGTAGCCAGAAACACCAAACTTAATCAGAAATATTTGTTTTTTCCGAAACCTGGTGAAGGAGTTGGAACTTTTCACATTTAAAAGAGATAACATGGCCTGCTCATGCACAGTCTTGCCAGCATCAGTACCCTCAGGCATGAAGGACCCCTTGTAGGCTGAAGAATTGAGACACTTATGCAACATATGGGAATCTTTATTGAAGAAACGTTTCGCCACACAGTGGCTTCATCAGTCCAATACAAAGTAGAAATGGGTAAGGAGAGGAGGAGTTTGAGATAATCAGTCCCTCAGCCTGGAATCGATGTGTTCAGTCCATCACTCTTGTAGGAAGTACAGCATAGGGCCAGAGAGATGGCTTATATACTGCAGTCAGGTGAGTCGAAGCAGGAGGAGGCGGGATCACAGTAGGACCTGCCACTAGTGTAAGTAGGTCGTCGTCAAAAGGTTGGACAAGTGTTGAAGTCTTTGTACCAAGATCCCATGATGTTGCAGTGTCTGACAGATGTGATGATTTTTTTTTTTTTTTGAAAACCGACAAGTTGAAGAATTGAGACACTTATGCAACATATGGGAATCTTTATTGAAGAAACGTTTTGCCACACAGTGGCTTCATCAGTTCAATACAAAGCAGAAATGGGTAAGGAGAGGAGGAGTTTGAAGTAATCAGTCCCTCAGCCTGGAATCGATGTGTTCAGTCCATCACTCTTGTAGGAAGTACAGCACAGGGCCAGAGAGATGGCTTATATACTGCAGTCAGGTGAGTCGAAGCAGGAAGAGGCGGGATCACAGTAGGACTCCTCCTCTCCCTACCCTTTTCTACTTTGTATTGGACTGATGAAGCCACTGTGTGGCAAAATGTTTCTTCAATAAAGATTCCCATATGTTGCACAAGTGTCTCAATTCTTCAACTTGTCGATTTTCAAAAAAAAAAATTCATCACACCCTTGTAGGCTCAAGCCAGATTTCCCTTGAGGGGCTCATGATCCAAGAAACTGGAGCTACCCTCTTCTTCCATGGCTCAACCCTCTGTCATAGTGTTTAAGCTGAATGTTCTGTGACAGAATTACCATACTACAAAAATATGCAGTGCTTATTTTTGTATGAGAAATACAGTACAGTAAAGCAATATAAATAATGAGGATTATGCTTTACAATACTGTGCTGTCCAGTGAGTTTTGGGTATTAAATTTTGGTATTAATTACATTAAATATTTTGTTAAGACTCAGTTACAATACTGTCAAATAATAGTTACAAACTATTTGTTATAGTTATACCAATGCAAAGTTTATTTCCAATCAATTAGTACTGTATACAGTTACAAAGGACTGAGATCATCATCAGAGTTTGAGCCTATGAGTTTTGAAGGATGAAAAACCACTTTCTGTAGGATTCAATGAGCAATCAAGACTGCTATTACCCCATATCAGCTATTGCTAGTCATGTTATGATGATTGGCAGGTGTTGTCAGGCAAGACCCAATAGGGACATAGTAGATGGCATTTTCATTATTGAATAGAAAGTGCAACAAAGTTAATAGACATAAAAGTGGTGGGAGGTTCTAAAACTGATGGATTAGAAGATAAAACACCCATAGTCATTTATCAAACACTACACAAGTTAGTTTTTCATTTGTCAGAACATATATGTAACTGTAGCTTACCAAACTGCAATTTCACTCTTAACTAACTTAAAGCATTATTCACTGAAAATATCTTTTATTAAGTTCTAACATCAAAACAAATCAAATGCTCCTTTAAACACATACTGCACCTTGATATTCCATATCAGCATTAGAAAAGAGGAAACCATCAGAGAAGTAGATGAAGTCTCCAGGTTCTCCACAGCCTCGGGGTTGTTGGGTCCAGGGGTTGTCTTTGAAGAGTGGGTCTTGGGGTCCCAACCTCAGGTGAGCATCATCCCACCCCAACCACTGGGAATTGCTAACAATATTGATCCCAGTGCATGACCAGGGAATTACAATTGTCACCTCTCCAAAGTAGAGCTTGTTGTTTGTAGCATTATACAATATTTCAGAAGCATATCCAATCATATCCTGAAATGAAGAAGTTATTTAAATTTATTTATGGAATTGAAACATGAATACATGTATTCTAAATGAAAGGGACAGAGAAATCTCAAGTGTAGTGCCATGCTTCTGTTACTGTAGTATTTCTAAGCTGGGTTCTTGTAACTCAATTGGTAGGAATGTCAGCTCATCTGAAGGACAGGTATTAAGTCCTCGGACAAGTGGAAACATTTGGCACGTTTCTTCACACTTATTGCCCCTGACAGTTAAATGATGACAGTGGCTTGATTGGATTATCCTCAGCTACTAACCTTCCAGTTAATAATCAAAATGTGAAGTAAAAGGACACAAGTGCAACTAATGTGACATTTTATTGTGGCAACGTTTCACTCTCCAGGAACTTTATCAAGCCATTACAAACAATACATGGACACAGAGGGTATATATAGGCTCAGAGTGAGGTGCGATACTAGTGGTAGTGGTAGTAGTAGTGACAAAAGTTGTGGTAGTAGTAGTAATACAATATGGTAGAGCAATTAAATGGTACATGAGTAAAAGGATATAAAAGCTATTACTTGGGTAACATAAAAGTAGGTTGGACAAATACAGACTGGATAGAGGCAGCCTGTTTCAGTGATCACTCTCTGTAATGTGCTTTGTGTAGTATAACAGGAGAGACTATGTGATGGCAGGGTTTACTGTTTTCAGGAGGATTCTTGGTAAGACTTCAGAGATGATGAAGCTGCCGTTGTTTTGTTTAATTGTATTCGAAACAGCGATCAGTGCTGATTCGAGGCACTTGCGTCTGCGGAAATTAGTTTCTTTGATCACTAATTGGGCGTCCCTGAATTTCATGAGATGATTGGTGGAATTTCAGTGTTGTACACAGGCGTTGTTCAAGTTATCGTTCCTACATGCGTAAATGTGTTCATTGAGGCGGGTGTCAAGGTTTCTTGCTGTTTCACCTACGTAAATCTTGTCACAGCCTCCACAGGGTATAGTTTAAACTCCTGGGTTGAATGGTTCATGGTGCTTTGATTTTGTCCTGGTTAGATCCTTTATTGAAGTGCTAGAAGCGATGGCGACTCTGGTGTTAGCTTGTGAAAGTACTTTAGAAACATTCAGTGCAACCTGGCTGTTGGGAAGAATTATAACTTTGTTGGGAGTGGTGTTGGTGCATGGAGAATTAATGATCTGAAGAGCTCTTCAGCTCTTTGGCAGCTTCACCATCTCTGAAGTCTTAGCAAGAATCCTCCTGAAAACAGTAAACCCTGCCATCACATAGTCTCTCCTGTTATACTACACAAAGCACATTACGGAGAGTGATCACTGAAACAGGCTGCCTCTATCCAGTCTATATTTGTCCAACCTATTTTTATGTTACCCAAGTAATAGCTTTTATATCCTTTTACTCATGTACGATTTAATTGCTCTACCATATTGTATTACTACTACAACTTTTGTCACTACTACTACCACTACCACTAGTACTGCACCTCACTCTGAGCCTATATATACCCTCTGTGTCCATGTATTGTTTGTAATGGCTTGATAAAGTTCCTGGAGAGCGAAACATTGCCACAATAAAATGTCACATTAGTTGCACTTGTGTCCTTTTACTTCACATATTGTCGGTAATTCTACCAACTTTATTACAATAATCAAAATAAAATCTTCATCATACTTGTGCTCACCAGGAGAAATCAAACTAAATCCAGAATACATTTAACTTCAGACAATGAAACTTGAGAGAAGCTATGCTATGTCTCTTCACACACTGTAGTCAGTTAAAGGAAAGGTAATCTTGCACTCTACCAAGTGGATTATTATTATGTTTAGGGAAAAGTACTTAACTAACAGGGGTCATACAATGCTTGGAGAAAGGAAAGCGATCAGTTTTGATACAAGGAAAGGAAGGGTATGTACAATTTAATTGATCAAAAGCCTCTTTCTTGCATCAAAGAACCTCGCTTGAGCAGTCAACCCAGCTGCCGCATGCACATAAAGGCTCCCATACACCAAAGTCAGTGTGGCATTGTTTCTGGGCGAGTGACCATCACCCCACACGTTCATGTGATACATTTTGTATTAATCAATTCTTTTTTGTGCTTGCAACTGCTAAATAAGCCACCATGGGCCCAAAGAAAGATCCTAGTGCCAGCCCTTTGGCAAAGAAAGTGAGAAACACGATAGAATTAAAGAAAGAAATCATCGCAAAATATGAAAATGGAGTGCATGTGGCCGACCTCAGCAGGATGTACGGGAAGCCCCATTCAATGCTCAATTCCATTGTGGTGAAGAAAAAGGAAATCAAGGAAGCTGTTGTTGTGAAAGGGGTAGATATGCTCACAAAAAAGAGATCACAAATAATCGAAGATCTTGAGAATTTGTTGTTGGTGTGGATCAACCAAAAACAGTTAGCAGGAGATAGTGTTATGCAGTCAGTAATTTGTGAAAAGGCAAGGCAGCTGCATGCCAATCTCGTAAAGAAAATGCCTGGAACAAATGCTGATGTTAGTGAATTTAAGGCCAGCAAAGGCTGGTTTGAGAGAGTTAAGAAGCGTAGTGGGATACACAGTGTGGTAAGACATGGCAAGGCTGCAAGCTCTGACAAATGTGCGGCTGAAAAATTTGTGCATGAATTCAAGGTGTATGCAGAGGATGAAGGATTCCTCCCCCAACAAGTGTTCAGTTGTGACAAAACAGGCCTTTTTTGGAAGAAAATGCCAAAGAAGACCTACATCACACAGGAGGAAAAGGCACTGCCAGGACACAAGCCTATGAAAGACAGGCTAACTCACTTGTTCTGTGGTAATGCTAGTGGGGATTTCAAAGTGAAGCCTTTACTGGTGTACCACTTTGAAAATCCTAGTGTGTTCAAGAAAAACAGTGCTGCCAAGAGTAAACTGTGTGATGTGGAAGGCTAACAGTAAGGCATGGGCCACAAGGGAAATTTTCCTTGATTGGTTCAATAAAGTGTTTGGCCTGAGTGTGAAGGAATACCTCCTGGAAAATAAATTGTCACTCGAGTGCCTCCTGGTAATGGACAATGCTCCTGCTCATCCTCAAGACTTGGATGACCAAATGGTGGAGGAGTTTAGTTTCATTACAGTGAAGTTCTTGCCCCCTAATACCACTCCTCTCATCCAGCCCATGGACCAGCAGTCTATGTGTGGCCAGCAGTAACAGCCTGGTTGATCAGGCCTGGTCACAGACCAGGCCACGGAAGTATTGACCCCGAAACCCTCTCCAGGTATACTCCAGGTTACAGGAAAGTGGGTGCAGGAGAGAAGAAGAGCAACTGGTGGAATAATGAGGTAAAGAGAATAGTAAGAGAGGAAAACTTAGTATATGAGAGGTTTTTACGAAATAGAAGTGATACAATGGAGGAATATATGGAGAGAAAAAAGAGAGGTTAAGAGAGTGGTGAATTAATGTAAAAAGAGCAAATGAGAGAGTGAGTGAGATGTTATCAACAAATTTAGTTGAAAATAAGAAAAAGTTCTGGAGTGAAATTAATAAGTTGAGAAGCCTAGGGAATGAATGGATTTGACAGTTGAAAATAACAGAGGAGAACTGTTAGATGGAGAGTTAGAGGGAATATTTTGAGGAATTGTTAAATGTTGATGAGGATAGGGAAGCTGTGATTTTGTGTATTGGGCAGGGAGGAATAATATCTTTTAGGAGTGAGGAAGAGTCAGTTGTGAATGTGGGAGAATTGCGTGAGGCAGTGGGCAGAATGAATAAGTAAGTAAGTAAGTAAGTAAGTTTATTCAGGTATACACAAATACAGTTACATAGAATTATCATACATAGCAGCATATGTGTAGAGAACCTAGGATAACCCAAAAAAGTCAGACGGAGTGACTTATTACCATTGGGGTCCTTTTACCTTATTATTATAATATAAAGGTTATAATATTTTCTTATTATTCTACAATGAAGATAACATCTTATTATCATACTAAAAAGACTATCTACTACACGAGGGTCATTAAGACTATCTACAATACGAGGGTCATTACTAGGAATAAGGTAAAATTTACACGTATGTTAGCAAAAAAATAGAAAATCATTCCCCTCCTTTCTGTAGCTACATTCATCGGGACACCTTTTGGCACTCTTCTTGAACTGGTTCATGCTATGACTGGCTTTGACTTTGTGCGGGCAGTCTGTTCCATTCCTTTATTGCTGTACAATAAAGGTGTTTGATGCCTGGCCAATGACTGTGGGAACTACAAATTTTGTGCTCTCTCCCCCTAGTACTATGATTGCTTTGGTTCCCAACCTTGACAAATTGACAGCAAGATTCTGGACACTGTTTGTGAGCAATTTTTAAAACATGATTTAGCTTAGTTGTTTTAAACTCTGTCTTCAACATTCAGCATATCCAACTGCTGTAATTCATCCTGGCCTACATGTTCTCTTGGTCCCAGCCCCAGGATGAATCTTACGATTTTGTTCTGGGTGATTTGCAGTCTATCTTTCAGTTTTTTGTCAAGGCAGAGTCCCAATGAAGAGCAAGCGTAATCCATATGGCATTGTATAAGGGTAGACATAGGGTCCTGCGAGCCTCAGTAGGTAGCACTGTGCTTTTCTATACAGGAACTTCAGTCTGGCATTCGCTTTCTTTACTACACTGTTCCCTATAAATTCTCCTGACATGCATGGGTAAAAGGGGTTTCCCCAGATATTTTACTGATGAAACCAAAGTGATGGGCTCCCCTTACACTGAACTTTAAAAATTATTTACCCTTCTCAGTTTATTTTCGTGCCAAAGAGAATGGCTTCAGTTTTCCCTAGGTGTTATGATAGTTTGTTGTCTACTAACCATTTGTTTGCAGGACTCCAGTTCCAATGTTAAAACATTAGCAATATCTTTTTGGGTCTTTACCTGTCACAAAACAGAGCACTGTCATCTGCATACAGTAAGAGTTTGCACTTGACACTGATAGGCATATCATTGACATAACATAAGAATAATAAGGGACCCAGAATACTACCTTGGGGAACTCCACATGTTACTG